GAGAAGATGGTGGAAAGAACTGCGCCAAACTCTGGTCTGGGGCAGAGCTCCTTACATGAATGGGAGGACCCTGCACGCACCAATGGGCTGTGAGAAGTGCCAGGAGAGAGGCAGGGACAGGATTCGAAGTCCTGGGGAGCAGATTTAGGGGCTGGGAGGACAAAAGGGATGGAGTGAGGGCACTGCAGCAGGTGCACAGGGTCTGAAAACTGTCCCCACCCTTCTCTGTAGGAGGCCGGATCGACTGGTGAGGGGGAGCCTGAGGACAGGACCTGTAAGGTTTAGACAGTTCCCAAAGACTGGAGGAACCCCCTGGGACAGGTGAGACGGGGCTCCGGGGTCTGCAGGGCCCCAGCTGGAAGCAGAGCAGGCTGAAGGCCAGGGCCGGGCTACTCTGAGGACAAGCACTACAAGTCTCCGGCATGTCACTAGCCCAGGCATGGCGGAAGGGACAGGCAGCTGGAGCAGGGGCGGCCGCTGCCTCCACCTGCCACGAGAACGTGGTTGAAAGCTGCTGGACACCAACCCCACCTAGTCAAGGAAAGCAGCCGGGGGAGGTCTCAGTGGCGTCTGCTGCCTTCCGTCTTTCTCTGCTCCAGGACTCGGAGTCTCTCCAAGCTCTGAGAGGGCAGCCCAGTGTCCCTCTTGTCCACGCTTGTGCTCCCAGAGCTCAGCGCACTCGGATGAGGCCCCATGTCAGCAGCGATGGCCCACGGGCTCTCCTTTGCCAGAGGGGGCCTGTTCAGGCAGTGGCACGTGGGACGTAGACATGTCCCTGACTCCATTTAGTGGAACTAGGAAGACACCAGACAGGAGAGTCTGAAGACCATGGCAGGCAGCAGGAGCTGCCCACAGAACTCGTTCTCTAGCGCCTCGGTGCAGCGGGGAGGTTTAACGCTACCCTGGAACCGGCCACCCATGCTCTCACTCCACGACCTACCTTGGTTCTAGGACTCCCGCAGGTGGCCTTCTTGTAAAGCAGTCTCTTCACCTTCAAGGCCCTCTCCTGCTGTCCTCTGCCCGCCCTAGCACCCGACGTGGCACTTCTGCACCCAGTGGTGCCCCACTTACTCATGTAGGTGCCTGACGGTTGGTGGCAGAGATCCAGGAGCTGCTACCTTTGGAGCTCCAGCAGGAAAAACAAATGAACAGGAAAACCACCCAGCTAGATTGCAGTCCAATACACGTGGGGATCGTGAAGGGGACTAAATTCAGGGCGGGGGCGGTGTGGCTTTCTACTCCACTGCACAGCCCAGAAGATGGACGGCAGCAGGCTGCTAGAAGTCTAGGAGGGAGGGGACAACCTGCTGGCCTCTGACATCCGTGTGGCCTGTAGCCCACCCTCAGACCAGCTCAGATCCCACGGGGTCAGCACAGCCACGTCACGCCTGAGCCAGGTATTCAAGGCCGTGCCTGTGACCAGAGCTGAGCCCAGGGGCCGGCTGTGGCTGGAGCTTCCCGACACCGTCGAATGAAAGGACACGGTGAGTTACGGGGTGTGAGCGGCCTAGGGTAGCCTCGCTGGCTGCCCAGCCCAAAGCTGTCTGCTGGAAGTCGCTCCTACGTTCACTTAGGGATCACAGCACTAGGTTCCCAACCAAGTCTGAACCTCGATACCTTCAGAACCACCAAACGCGCGGTCATGACGGATGAATGATAGAGAAATACTGTCGCTTCCCTGGGCTCACTGGGCAAGTGTGAGTTAGGGGACGAGTTTTAGGAAGGAGATTTGATGGCAATCTGAAAAGCCCATTTTCTTGATCATTACCTCATCATTTCCTCCGATAACAACTTCAATGGGCGTTTCTCCAGGAATTTTCCATTTAAAAAGCACTTTTGCTGTCGTCTCAATTAGTTTCTTTCTGACCACGCTTAGCTCTTCACTTAGAAGAAATATCTGCAGACAAGGTTATTCACAAGTTAAATACATTGCCTGATTCGACTTCTGGGGAGGTTAGGGTAGACACACAACCCCACGCTTACCCTCTGATGCGTGGCTGGGGCCATTTCAAAATGCCCTCCCGTGTGTTCACATGAGCACACGGGAGTTCTCTCCCTCCTCGCTGGATGGCACCAGCAGGGAGTGTGTTCTCAGCCATCAGCCTATGAGCTTCAGAGCGTATTCCGGTGGTTCCCTCGCCCCCTTAAACCTGGAGAATGAGTCATTGGGGGCTGGATGGATGTTGGAGACTTTCTCTCTCCCAGCTCAACCAAACTATGATTCTGGTTATACCTCATGATGTTTTTTTTCTTTAATTTTTAAAAAGCATATTTACCTATTTGTTCTATGAGCGAGTGAGAGTGAGCGAGCCCTGCAGCCTTCAGCCAGCCCCACTCGTGGGCAAGCACATACCTGGTGTACTCAGGGAGGTATCCGGACTTGACCGGGAGTCTTCTCTTGTGGAATCACCTTGTAGAGGATCTTGTTTCACCACTGTGCTGTCTGGCCCTATCTCTTCATATTTCTGTACGTCAATTTCCTATGGGAAAACTGCCCATCCCGGGAACCGGCCACCATTGATACCACCTCGCAAAGCAGAACCAGCCACGAGGCCAGCAAACAATATGCTCTAATACAGCTTTTCCGGAGGGCAGAGGAAGGATAGAGCTAAGGCCACTTCCACTGAGTCTACACTCACCAGCAGGCGGTGCTGTGACAAAAGCAATCAAGAGGAACCAGGTCAGGCTGTGTCTGGGCTCAGGAGGCTGAGCAGGCTCTGACGCCCCTCTCAAAGTCAGCATCCATGAGGGCAAGAAGATGGAGGGGGCACGTGGCTGCCCCAACACCAACCAGCTTCTAGCGTGTAAGCCTCTAAGCTTCCGCTCCCCTTCCTCCGAGCCCCTCCCCAGTTATTTGGATTTCCTGGCAGGAAGCGGCCAATATTGCAGGCAGGGAAGCCCTTCTCCTTAACTCGCCTGCAGATCCATGACCCGGGAGTCCAATTTTCAAGCACTTTACTGTGGCCATTCTGTAAGAAGCTGCACATTTACTATTAGAAGCTATCTTGAACAACAAAGTCCTGAGACAAGCCGGAGGCTCCAATGCAACGCGTGGAGACCAGTGAGCGTGTCTCCGCCTCTGCTCACCCAGCGGGCCCTCGGCTGCATTCATTTTTCACCTGCATGCCCTGTTTCCCCCGAGCTCCCCCAGGCAAAGCCTCATCCTTTATTTCCACGGCCTGTGGGCAGTGTGCGCACTGGGACCGAGTGATGCGTAACAAAGAAGCAAGCACTGGAGCAGAGGCCCTACAGAAACACCAAGTCCCATACCCCTCCTCCCACATCAGCCCGAAAAGCTAGGCGATGACTTGTCTGCACACGAGAACGTGTTGGTCACAGCGGCTGTCCCGGCACAAGTCGTGCTGTGGGACTCACTGTGAATAGGATCCCGAAGTAGGAGCTGCCTTGGAGGACCACACCCAGCAGGTTCGGGCTCCTCTAGAAGTGAGCTCCACGGGGAGAGGGGCACACTGCTGGCCTGGGTCTGCTCCTCCCAAGGGGACAGTGGACACTGCCCAGAGCTGAGGAAGTCAGAGAACCAGCCTAGACCTTCCGTGGGGAACAAGGCCTGGTCGTGAGACCTGGGGCCTCCTGCGTCGGCTCCGTCCCCAGGGAGTCGTGGACCAGGCAGTCTGAGGAGGCAGGGGCTGCGTGTGGCGCTGGGGCAGGGCTCCTGCCACCGTCCTGCTCCCATCTAAGAGTTCTGCCTACACTCGGCAGAGCCAGCTCCTTTGGTTGAGATGCGCTGGCTCTTCTTCGGTGGCCTTAGTGGCTTCCAAAGAGCAGAATGCGTGGCCCGGCATGGAAACAAAGCCCAGACGCTGGTCCCCGAGGCAGGACAGAGGGCCGCCAGAGAGTCTACAAATGAAGAAATGCTAATTGCCCTGTCCCCGAACCAGTCACAAGCCATTCAGGGACAGAGCTGAGGAGGAAGACAGGTCTACACGGGAAGCCGGTCCCTGTGAAATGGAGAAGAACCGTATCTTGCGTGGTGCAGGGAGGTCCGCAGTCTGGGAATGTGGATGAGTCAGGGCTTTCCTAAGAGCTCTCGCTGTCTACAGCGCTTCTGCTAGGGCTGGAGGGTGAGCCCACAAGCTCGTGGCAGCTTCGCTGTTCATATAAAGGATATATGAACCCATTCATGTTATGTAGTGCCCCTGGAAGAGCTGAAATGAACTTAGCTTTGCAGAAGTCTTGCAGGATCTCCCCTGGGCAACCTCCTCTATTCGCCCCGCCCCACACTTTTTTTTTTTTTTTTTTTTTTTAGAGGTTTTTGCTATAGGGCGCGTGTGCTCGCCAAAAAGACAGAGAGAGAGACACAGTGGCAGGAAGCGAGAAATCACCCCCCAGGGGGGATGGCCAAACCACAATCCCTTCTCCTTTGTTCTCCTCTCAGGATCTTGGGCACGAACGCACATGTGCCTGGTGTGAGTTTTAAGCCACCGGGTCTGGGACGCGAACTGCGGTTGACTACATGGGAGTCCAGCGACATAGCCATTACGCTAATGGCTGGTCCCCAGCGGGAGTTTTTGCTATAGGGCTTGTGTGCTTCCTGGAGAGACAGAGAGACAGAAAGTGAGAACACCTTGAAATCACCTCCCGGGGGGGGAAGGCCACACGGCAATCCCTTCTCCTCCAGTCTTCTCTTGGGCCTACACACACAAGTTTTAAGCTGCTAGGTCCAGTACTCTAACTGCAGTCGACTACATGGGAGTCCAGCAATGTAACCATTATGCCAACTGCTAGTCCCTCTATTCCCCTTTTAAATAAGAAATAAGAAGGGCATAAGATCACCTATTTATGCAGCTAGCCATACCATTAAATTCACTTCATTCACTGTAGGTTAACTTGTTGGGTGTTTTCCCTTAAAAAAAAAAAAGCCCCACTTAGAAATATCCGGTGACCCCAACATTCCATGCACCATTCTAAAGCCACGCTGGTGGTGTCTTCGCCGTGACTCGTCTGGCTGCTGAGACAAAAGCAGAAGGGCCCAATACTTGTAAAGTTCATATTTATTATAACAAAAATGATGACATGTGCATTTGTGCATTCTGCTTTAATATAACTCTGGGTATGTAAATGGTCTAATGGGCTCTATACAATCATGCTGATTGTGGCAGCCGTAAGGAACACGATTAAAAAGTGTCTGCAAAAGTCAAGAGGCTGGAGACAGGAAGGGAAGAAGTAGGGTCCAGGGCCCCTAGGAGCAGGGTCTTGTCCAGTGGCCTGAGATCCACCTGCACGGGAATGCTCTAGCTGTTCAGCCCCTCAGTTAACGAACTAAAGTGAGCGTGTGTGTGTGTCGGGGTGGAGGGGCAGGGGCAGGGGAGGCTCACGGGGAGGGAGACGTCAGTTATTAGCTGTGTCCTTACGCCAAGACTACAAAACATCGTGAAGCATCACTAGACGGCACTGCGCTATTTACAGTAGAAATTTCTCAATCAACTGTTCTCTCAGAGAAAATTAGTGAATCCCAGTGACTTAAGTCACCTGACAGAGTAAAGCAACTCCTAGGAGTTAGTCTCCATATTCTACAAATGTCTGTCATTTTCAAGACAAAAAAAAAAAAAAAGCCTTTCCCCCCGCAAAGAAATACAGAATTACAATATTATTAAATTGTTTAGCAATGGCAACCTGCCCTGCCTTCTGAACAAACGACAAAAAGCCATTTAAAAAATATCACATTATCATTAACCATTTCTCTGAAATATATTAAACCTTTTGTTCTTTGTCTTTACACATCTGATATGTTAGAAGTTAACAAATTTAAATCATACTGATAAAGCATCACTAGAAGAAAAGTGGTAATTATTAAAAAAGTAACTAACAGAAAGAGAACTTACAGGTTGGCTACAAAGACTGGGTGGGACTGTGTCTGGGAGAAGGACACGGAGTAAAACCCCTGGTTTAATGTGAGTCTGGGAGACTCTTGCCACTCAGTCTTTCTGGGTTAGTTTATTTTAGACAGTGCTCAGACTGGGTCATAGCGGCGTGTCGTAATAGTCTGGCAGCTGGTCCACCGGACACTGCCGCGGCGGCTGCGGCTGGGGCTGCGGCGGAGGCTGGGGCTGCTGCTGCTGCTCCTGGTGATGTTTCATGATTTCTTTGACTTCCTCCTCCAGCTCCGGGGGGATGATAAACTGATCATCTGGATCAGGCTGAGCCGGGGCCGCAAAGTAGCCTCCAGGCTTTCGGAGAGGGGCGTCTGCCGCGACCTCTATGACGTTGTGGCTCCTTTCCTGGGGTGCTACAGAGCCGTTAGCCCTCCGGCGCCCGATGGTCCCCACAGCAGAGAAGTCTGTCTTCCTGGGCAGACCCGACTCGTCCTCGTTGGCGCTGATGACGATACCCTCGTCGCTGGCCTCGGCCGGCACCTGGAGCAGGTGCTGCTGCTTCTCCTTCTCCTTGGCCCGGCTGCAGTGGATGTCGCCCTCCCCCTCCACCCGGCTGCCGTTGGTGAAGACGCCCTCAATTGGCTCTTCGTCATCACTGTCCAGGCCATTGTCGGAGAAGGCGCTGGAGAACGTGGCGCTGGACAGCTGGCGCTGGAAGGAGCTGGACAGGCAGACGGGGTGCAGCATGCAGCGCTGCTCGCTGGGGCAGGCAGGGCTGCTCTCGTTCAGGGCTCCCGACGGGGGCTCGTCAGAGGCTGTGGACCCCACCTCGCTGCTCATCTCCGACGTGGAGAGCTCGCTGCTGATCTCAGATGCCATGCCGCTGCTGGAGGACGGCATGGTCAGCCCGTCGGCCGGCCGGTCCTTGATCACCATGTTGACCGAGGTAGGGAAGATGCCTGGGCTGGGAGGGGGCACAGTCCCACCGGCACTGAGCTCGCAGCAGCAGAAGCTGTCTTCAGTGACGCTGAGCTGCACCACCACGGCGCTGATGCTGTCATGGCAGCCGTAGCTCTGGGCCAGGGTGCACAGCTTCTTGGCAGCAGCCAGGGCATCAGGCACGTTGCGCACGGCCTCCACGGCCTCCTCGACGGACAAGCTGTCCCATAGCCCCTTACTGCCCAGAATAAAGAACTCGTCCTGGGGGGTCAGGAGCACGGACTGCACATGGGGGCGAGGCACCACGCTGGGGTGGAGGAAGGTGTAGCCCAGGATGCGCGTGGACTCGGTCACCCCGTTCACCTTGCCATCCTGGAAGAAGAGTTTCCAGACAGACAGTTAAGGCGGAGCACCAGCAGTGCCTGTTCATCGTAACCAGAGCGGGAGAGGCTACTGGCACACGGTCTAGAGGCCAGGGGAGCTGCTCGGCATCCTACATACACAGAACAAACCCCATGGGAAAGACTCCTCTGGCAGTACTGCTGGGTCCCCCGTTGGACTTCGTGTGGGATCCTGCAAGGCGTGAGCTGCTCCGTGCTGCCTGCCCACACACGCCCCGCCGCACCGCACACGAGAGCAGGGAGCAGTCCTAGGACTAGCATGACTAAAACAGGGCTTCAGGTACAACTTGAAACTTTCTCAATTCCACTGATGTGGTGTGCTCCCAAAGCCCGGGGCTTAGTAAAAACTGCCCTCATTGTTCCTCTCGCTCTCTAGGTTTCTCCCCATCAGGACCATGGGTGTGTGGATGTGTGTGTGTGTGGTTTCTTCATGGGGGAGAAGCGAAGGACAACTCAACAACCTCACGTTGAGGATTCGCCAGTCAGGTAAAAGTGAGGAAGAGGCACAGAAAACAGGGCAGAAGCTGAGGTACAAACTGACTCAGTACGTATTGGAAATATGGCTGACCTTACCTCACTCAGTATAATGTCGAGCATTTAATTCAGTACAGCCTGTGCCACACTGGACTGCCTTTGCTCCCTAAGATAGAGTCAGCTGCCCCTTCGAGTCCTCTCTGCCCCAGGACTCTTCCTGCAAATCCCATGTATGTCTTGAATCTTTATAGATGGCTTAGAGCCTATCAAACCTACCTGGAATCCATCTTTTTCTCTACTGGACTACAAACTTGCACTAGAGTCTACCTCACACTACATGCAGTGCTGTGGGTCTATCGACAGTGTGAGCCAGGAAGCTGCTCAGGGCACATGTGTGTCTGCAGGGACCACTACTATACTCCCAAATCACCCTTCAGGCACACCCCATGGAGTGAGCAGCTATGTGACGCCTTCGTGAACAGACCCCCAGGCCCACTTGGAAGCCTCGTTGGTACTGAACCCTGTCATGCTGTAGGCTCACTCCGGGCTCTCAACACTGGCACTGAACCCTGTCATGCTGTAGGCTCACTCCGGGTTCTCAACACTGGTACTGAACCCTGTCATGCTGTAGGCTCACTCCGGGCTCTCAACACTGGCACTGAACCCTGTCATGCTGTAGGCTCACTCCGGGTTCTCAACACTGGTACTGAACCCTGTCATGCTGTAGGCTCACTCAGGGCTCTCCACACTACCCCTGAACGTCATGCTGTAGGCTCACTCCGGGTTCTCAACACTGGCACTGAACCCTGTCATGCTGTAGGCTCACTCCGGGCTCTCAACACTGGCACTGAACCCTGTCATGCTGTAGGCTCACTCCGGGCTCTCAACACTGGCACTGAACCCTGTCATGCTGTAGGCTCACTCCGGGCTCTCAACACTGGCACTGAACCCTGTCATGCTGTAGGCTCACTCAGGGTTCTCAACACTGGCACCTCAGCATTCTGGGGCCAGGTACGTCTTTACTGTGGAGTTTCTTCTGTGTACTGCAGGCCACTTAGCAGTTCCCCTGGCCACTATATGCCAGCAGCCTCTCTCCCCAAACAAAACTGTCCCCAGACATGACCAAATGTCCCATGGAAGGCAAAACTGTCCCCAGTTGAGAAACACCGCATATTCAAACAGAAGATGAGACACACACCAAAATTAACTAATAATATTTAAATTTACAGTTTATGAGTCACACTGGCCTTGTAAAGTAAGACAGATACAGTATCATTCCTATTTTACAGAAGAGAACACTGAGCCTCGGAGAGGTTTAAAGGTCAGAGCCTACAAGTGGCGGGGTTAAGATACAAAAGAACAGCAGGGTGATCTTGGCGGGAGGGCTTCAACCCACCAAAGCACAGCAGTGTGACCTCAGGGGGAAAGCCACCGCGTGCCAGGGTGACTGTGAGGACCAGTGGGTGGGCCATGAACACTGAGCAGGGCACAGAGCCTGACCCAGGGGGCTCTGGCAAGTGTGTTCCCTGCTAGCCACTAGGATGCCCTCGGGCCCACATACAAGGCACTTGGTATGTGACACTGTGGACTTGGAACCAACTTCAGAAGTATTCTTTGATGGCAAAGCTCCCTGGCTGGTTTCTGCTGTGACCTGGCCTTCTCCTCCCCACCAACCTGAGGAAAACCCCCTCTCCTCACCTCAGTGATAATGGCCTTGTGCTGTTTTATCCTCTTCAACTCTTCTTCACAGCTCATGACGTATGATCTGGACAGAGGCAACGGCTTCCCATTTCGACAGAGAACTGTTTGGCACTTGCCCACGTTAGCAGAGGTCAAAGTGAAGGATCCTCCTGGGTCCGCAGGGTCATGCTTGATATGACAAAGGACAGCAGCCCCACCCAGTTTCTGCCCAGCAGTTCCAAGTTTCCTAGAATCCAAAAAGAAAGGGTGAAAACGCAAGCACAACGCACCGGGTGTCTGTCGTTAATTCAATAGGAAGACTGCACCTCTGGGTGGGACCAGGAGGGAGACAGCCCTGTGGATTCAACTCAGCCCCTTCCATCAGTGTGCACTGCCCAGCTTCTTGAGGAAGAGAGCCCCTGGAATCTGACATCACACACACTGACACAGACAGGCGTCTGCTCGTAACTGGGGAAAAGTGTCACTTTACCACAGGAACTGGTCTGGAATCAAGGAGCCCATGGACTGCTGTGTCCAGCCTGCTACTCCCATGTCAGCCACCCTGCCCTGTCAGCATGCTCCAAAGACAGCAGGGCACCCAGGTGCCACTGTAAAGCCCCTCTGTTCTCAGGGGAGGAAACTCAAAGGGACCATTTGAATAACAGCAGATATAAACATATAAATATCCATGACATCCACACTTCAGAATAACCCACCACACCTCCTCAGCCTTTAAGTACTAGAGTAGTCATGTTCTTGCTCTAGAGAGCAAACTTTCTGGCCAGTACCGTCTATTCCAGAACATTCATAGAAAGGACATCCGGGAACCAGCAGTTAGCATAATGGCTACGCCACTGGACTCCCACGTAGTCGACCGCGGTTCGCATCCTGGACCCGGTGGCTTAAAACTCACACTGGGCGCGTGTGCGTGCGTGCCCAAGATCCCGAGAGGAGAATGGAGGAGAAGGGATTGCGGCATGACCATCCCCCCTGGGGGGTGATTTCTCGCTTTCTGTCTCTCTGTCTCTCTCTGTCTGTCTGGCGAATGCACACGCCCTATAGCAAAAAAAACCTCTCCAAAAAAAAAAAAAAAAAGGAAAGGCCATCCTACTAATCAAACATCAAATGCATGTGATTTATCTTTTGATTCTTGACCATTAATCCAGAAACTTACTGAATACACAAAGCACCCGTGGATTCTGAAAATCAAAAGGAACAAAGAACTCCGAGCACGAGCTCTACAGAGGGTGGTCCCTCCAAGGCCTCTGATGTTCCTGAGTGGTACAGGAGCAAGAGACGTAAGTGGCAATAATGGCAACGGAAGCCAGAGCGGCCTGCCCGTGAGCGTCAGGAGATCGTGCACAAGGACACACGGTTCCTCTACGGACCAGAAAGCTCAGCGCACATCCAGTACCCAATCAGCAACAGGGAAGATAAGGGCACACGAAAGACCCTAGAGACAGGCCTACAACTTGGATCTCTAAACTCCAACTGGCTGTAGGTCTTTCCTAGGCAGCTCTGCTTTCTTCCTTTCAAAGGCACAAGGACCAGGCATCAGAATTGGGGGCGCTTAGTTCATTCTTATCCAGTGCCTGTGAGTCAATAAAAAGTAGACCTCCTGGGGGGTTATGAAGGGTGTGTGTGTACGTGTATGTGTGAGGCGTGCCTGCTTTTTTCCAGAACAAGATGGTGGGAAACACGGGAAGGTTGGTAAGCCTGGCAGTTGGAACAGTCCTGGGAGCCTTACTGTGCAATCACATCCTGGCTGCACCAACTGTCACCTTGTAGGGCAGTTCATGTCACTCTCTGTACCTACCTCACTGGGAAAGGGGGATGGCAGGCAAGGTGCTAGAACAGTGACGGGTGCCTGTGGAGGCTGACTAAATACCAACTACTGTTGCTGCCCCTGCTCACGCGACACGATCATGAGAGTCTGAAAGTCCTGCAGAGGCAAGTCCACCAGGCCAGCCTCTGCCGAGCTCCTCAGGAGGAACCACTCGTGACTTGGGTCCCACCTAAAGGCTGCCCTGAGTAGCAGTCATCAGCAGATGCTTTTCCTAATCTGTTACCAAGCCACTTCCTCTGGCAGATTATTGAGGCAGAGAAAAAGCAGAAAAAGTGCTCATCATCACCACTCCCATGACCTTTGGGGCACACAGGTGGGGCAGGTGGGTCTGCAGAACCATGTCTACAGATGGGCAGTTCCTGTGGAACCTACAAGGCCTTAAGGTGACCAAAATAAATAAATAAATAAAAATAAAAGGAAATTCATGAGTGAGGGAATCCTTACAGCATACACCTCTGAGCTACAACAATATTCTGCAATTTCTCTAGAGACTTTGAACTTGCCCATAGGCGGAAGCCACAGGCAACGGCTGAGAACTATGCCAGGGACAGTTTGGGACATTTAATAAGGGGGGGGGGGAATAATGTCTAAAGACTGGTTTAATTCCTGGCCTAAAATCTGGCCATCTCAATTTCACAAAGATTTACACTTCAAACTACTGATAGTATTTCATAACAATCAACAAACTGGGACAGAAACAGTTCATTTCAAAGAGACGTCCACACACCACATGGTCTAAAGAGCCTCTGGAACTCCCAGGACTTGGTGAGAGGAGTTGGAAACAATCCAGTGAAAATCTAGACTCGACGCAGGCCTGTGAGGTCCAGACCTCAGAGAAACAAAACTGCTGTCATTGACTCAGCCTTCCACAAAGTTGTGTGGACATCGCAGGAACATGGTCCAGCCTGATGTACAGGCCACACCGTGGGCCACACCACGTTTCCAAAATGCATCTGGTCTACCCAGAGGCAAAGCAGTGCTTTGCAAGTATTGAGCACCTACTTCTTCAACGAGAGGGAAAACACTCGAAGAAGAGCAAGAAAACACACAGCAGGGACTCTCAAGCTTTTACCTCTGCATAACAATAAATGTGTTGACCATGTATTCTTCTTCGTTTTTCGTTTTTTGTAGCTCTTCAGCCAAAATGTCACTCATGGTACACTGGAGAAGGTAGGGCACCTCCACATTCCGGTCTCCATCAAACACACCATACAGGGCCTCCCGGTTGTCACAGAAGTTATTCACCGACAGGGCTGCAACACACAACCTGCAGGGCAAGAAGGCATCTGTGCTGAGTCCACTTATCTTTCCTTCTCCACGCCCAACCCAGCTCTATCTGCTTTTGTATTTGTCCATCCAGTTTTGTCTCTTTCCTCAAGACTCTAGACAGATTAAGAATAGGTTAACTGACCCTAGTAAAATTTTTATCAATCAATTCCTATAAGCAGAGAAGAGTTTACACATCTGGCTAAAACAGAGTGACAACCAATGCACTGGGAAAAATCTATTAAAAAAAAAAAAAAAGAAGAAAAAACAGAAAAAAAGAGGAACAACCCTCTGGCATGAATAGTAAGAAGCACAGGTCCATAATGAGCCAGGTGGCTGCCTAGCTCATGCCTGGCCATGACAGCACAAGGAGAAGCCAGTGAAGCACGGGCCTAGGGTCTGCCCGCACAGGTACAGCATGTCAGGGAGGAGAGCTGCTTAGACCAAGCCTGGAAGTTGCAAGGAATCACCCCACTCCAAGCTCAAATGAATCAAACTATCAGGCTAGAAATATAATGATGTATTTTTGTATAGATAAACAGGTAAAGAAAGTATGGCGTGACTTTTCCAACACCTAATATTTCCAAGTAACTGATGTGTCCCAGAAACTATCCAGAATGAAGCAGAGAAAAAGACTAGGCCTTAAGTGAGTGGTAGTATAACTCCAAGGAACTGAATATACAGGGTATTGGGGTCTTTAAAGGAGGAGTGGGAGACAAGAAAAAATCTTGAGTATTTATGGCTGAAAACATTTCAAGTGTGATGGAAACTATAAATCTACAGATACAAGAAACTCAACAAACTGCAAGCAAGAAAAACATAAAAACACAGCTACAGCACGTCAAAATCAAATTACTAGGAACAAAGGTGAGGGGAGTGATGGGGAGACAAAGACAGACTGACAGCAGACTTTTCAGGGGAAGCCATGCAGAAGACAGCAGAGCATCATCTTCAGAGTGCTGAGAGAAAACTGACCAGAAAATAGCCCAGAATTCTATACCAGTGAAAATAGCTTGGAAACACTAATGTGAAATAAAAACACTTTTTCATGTACAAATAAAAGAATTTACTACCAGAAGACTGGCACTGAAAGTAATGTAAAAGGAAATCTTTGGGGCATAAGAAAATAATATGAGGGGAAGTCTGAGTCTATACAAAAGAATGAAGCATACTAGCAATGACAAAAAGGTGAGCAAATATAAACGATTTCTTATTTTTAAAATCATTATAGAATAGTGGTTCTCAATAGGGGTAATTTTGTCCCTAGGATACATTTTTACTGTCACAAATAACATCTCCACTTGTGTGTGAGTGGGAAGGTGAAGGAGTTGCTATTGGCGTTGAGTGAGTAGCGGCCAGGGATGCTTCTGAACATTCTAAAACACACATGACAGCCCTCTCCCCTGTACTCCAATAACACAGAATTATCTGGTTCAAAATGTCAAAATATCAGTATCTTCAGTGCTTAAAGAGGACAAGCACTGCTTTAGAAAACAACTCACTGAAGTAACAATAATATTTTAGAGTTTTTAACAAATATAGAAGTAAACCATGACAACAAAAGCACAAAAACCTGGATGAGAAGCAGAGTATGTATTTGCAAAGTTCTTATATATGAAGTAGTGTAATATTACTTGCAGATAAACTGTAATAGTTAACGGTTATACTATAAACAAACTACAGATATGCATGGGCACGTGTAAACAGAAATACACATAAAGTTGGACTAATGAGAATGAATTAAGAAAATCAATTAAAAAAGACTCAATCCAGAACAATGAATAAAAAAAGAAAAAAAGGAAACAAAAACAGATGAGACAATTAGAAAATGACAGTAAGCTGGAAGGCTTAAACCTAACATCAATAACTTCATTAAAAATGAATGGTCTAGAACTAGTGGGAATAAAGAAAAGACAGATTGGATAACATAAAATAAGACCTAACTCTATATTGTTTATCAGAAAGCCATCTTATATATCAAAAGACAAATAGACTTTTAAGTAAAAGGATAAAAAACCAGTATATCGTTTTAACACTAATAAAAAAAAAGCTGAAGCAGCAACATTAATATTGAACACAGTATATTTCAGAATAAAGAATATTATAGGAATAAAGAGAATCATTCATAATAATAAAGGGGTCCATTCATCAGAAGCCATAATATTCTAAAAGTTTATGTACTTAATAAGATAGTTTCAAAATATATGAAGCAAGGGAACCAGCAGTTAGCGTAATGGCTATGTCGCTGGACTCCCACGTAGTCGACCGCGGTTCGTGTCCCGGACCTGGTGGCTTAAAACTCACGCCGGGCGCGTGTGCGTGCGTGCCCAAGATCCCGAGAGGAGAATGGAGGAGAAGGGATTGCGGCGTGACCATCCCCCCTGGGGGGTGATTTCTCGCTTTCTGTCTCTATGTCTCTCTCTCTGTCTGTCTGGCGAGCGCACGCACCCTACAGTGAAAATCTCTCCAAAA